ATAGATGCGCTGATGCGCAAGCATAAAGTATTAAAGTATATTATACACATTTAATATAATGTAATAATATTATACTGTAAATGTTACTATTCTTCCACTGACTTCTGGTTTCAATTCTCAACTAGTATTTAAAAATAGTTGTCCATCTAGTTTATAGTTAATGCTACGGATATAGTCTATTTGGATTATAATACCTAATAAGCAATCGTGACAAAAATATTTATGTGATATTATTAGTTTCTATAAATTGTAAATATGTACGTGTCGGCATACCGTTAAACAAGTATATTATTTTTTAGACCATTTGTCTTAATATGAAAATTTAACCATTACCTAATTTTATTTTTTTGTATTATATTTAAGAAATATAAAAAAAATATTTGCAGATWTATAATTAACAACAAGTAACAACTATATCATATATAGACGTTATATCTAATAATGGTGTTATAATTAATTACAAAAATGTTTTGTTATTTAATCAAAAGTTTTAATAATTATGTTAGCTTATCGTATGTAGGCTATCTGTTTTACCGTTGCACAAAACCTGAGCGTTTTAGAACATACCTATGCATAAATTGTATGATACATAAATCGACACTTCGGCTAACACATCCTTGTTTATATAGTGGGTCACTAGGCTACCAGATCTGATCACGGACTGAACTAGTGCCGTATACAAACGACGTGACCGATGATAATCATATTTAGAAAGTCAGTGTAARCCCTTATTGTTTCATTTAAAATGTAATTGTTTTTCAATAAAATCAATTTTACAAAAACATTGAAATTATCATCTCGCCAATATTAATAATGTGACAAACAAACGAACACAAACTCTACAAAAAACGTATCATTACTTACTAGTMCAAGATTTACATTTTTAATTTGTAGTGAAAAACAAAAAATAATATAATTATGATTAAATATTTTATTACAATTAAATTATGATAATAGTTTTACCTGTTTTTTCCATTTTGGGATATTTTTGGATGCGGCTAAAACCCTTGGGGCTCCAAAAGTACACAAAGCAAAAAGTACGGCTAGGGTACTTCTATTGGTCATGTTGACCAAACGACGTCGTATCAATGCTTTCACCAGGACTACACTGACTCATCGGAACATCCGAACCAGCCACTTCCYATGTCTTTTTGTAATTAGAATAAAAACGTGAGCTATAGCAGGTGYACTCTGCTATACTACGGTAAATAGCGGGGAGACTACGAATACTTCCGAGAATTCATATACAAATTTAAAAAATAATTAATATACCAGATTATTGGATACAAAGTAATATACATAATAATTAATATACAAATTTAAGACCAGTGAATATCTCATATAGAATATGTTGTGTTATACCCCTAATAAATTTTTCGAAATAATTTAAATTTAAATTAGATCCTTATATTACAACAAAATACAACAATATACCATGTGTTCACCAATTTAAGGAACACTGACATTTCTTAGCCAGATTATGTTGAAATGCAGAAACTCATTTAACTACAGCAAAAAATAAAGATTAAAAAAGGTGGATATCTACTGATCTACTGTTCAATAGGTTACAAGTGGGTCACTGCATGTAATGGGTAATGTTAAATTTGAATTMAATGATTAATATTATTGAACACGAAAATAACAACAAAACAACTAAATTCATTATCTATTATTAAATGTTAGACATAAATAATTGAATAGATATGAATTTCTAAATAAAAATGATTTACAAATTTTCGTTTTCGACAAATTTTGTCAAAATTCTAGGTTCAGATGCTCACAAAAACCTTGTAGGTATTATACATTTTCAAGTATTTTGACCAAAACAATTTTTTTATTTATTAATTTAAAAATAAACTAATCAAAATCAAAATGTTCTTAGAGCTTTTAAGGTTAAGGAATGATGATACAAATACTGTAGTATTTTATTTTCGAATTTTATAAAATCAACAATAGTATTTGTATTTGGCGTATTGACCATTGACTGCAGTGCGTATAATGACGATGCCCCATAAAATCGAAAGTTGCAACTAACAATCGATGTACATTTATACAGAAGTAATTTAAGATATTCCTCACAACTACACTTGGTAGAGAACAAGAGAAATCTAAAATTAGAAAGACTATAAACATTTCCATAGTATATATATATTATATATATATATTTAAAAATAAACAATTGTATGTATTAGTTAAAAAAAAAATAGTTAAGAACCTGTCACACCGTTCTACGATTAGTCGGAATAAAGTATTGATTTAAAAGTTAAAAACAATAATATTAACATATTAGTATATTACGGCAGTGTAAAATGTTATRAAATTAACTGTCCACCAAGTTGAATTAATTTAAAAAATCCGTTTAATCTTTTTTCTTCCTTGTCACCATCACAAGAAAACAAGAGACCTCTATCAACATTGAAGAATAGTAACTATTTATTCATGTGGTGGGGCTMGGATCTRTCCTACCGTAAAACGACGCCTTAAAGTAGACTATACAACAAGGAGAGAACAAGAGAAGACAATTCTAAATATCCGATCGACGATCATCTAGTTGAAATACTCAACCCCGAACCCAATAACGTCTCTAAAACTCATCCAATTCTTATCAGAAACTCACCTTATAAATAAATTGTAAATATTAAATTTAATATACTTGATATTTTAATTTATTGTTTTTCATTATTTGTTATTATCAATAAGTAATTATGTAATTTATATAAATTATATCTAAAAGAGTAAAATGTAATGCTATTACGCTGTCACAGCTAGATGCCACGCCACAAACAGTTTGCTTTAAAAAACAACAACAACTGTATTATAAGAACTCTAACTATTTATCATATTATAAGTATATAATATAAGAAGGTAATATTTTTTGATAAAAATTAATTCAACCTACCGTATTACTTATTATAGTGCTATAAATATTAAAAAATAAAATAATATCGAACATATTGCTAATAGCATTCTATAAGGTCCAAGAAATTTAATTAATTTAATAAAACTTCAAACAATTGTTGTAGAATATCGCAGTTTTGACTTTTACAAATTAAATGGTATATCTTATAGTGTA